GGGGGGCTCCACCTGTCTGGCTGTGGGGTTGTGGGGGGCTCCACCTGTCTGGCTGTGGGGTTGTGGAGGGCTCCCCCTGTCTGGCTGTGGGGTGGGGAACCTCCCCCTGTCTGGCTGTGGGGTGGGGAACCTCCCCCTGTCTGGCTGTGGGTGGGAACCTCCCCGTTTGGCTGTCGGGCAGGGGTTCCCCATGTCTGGCTGTTGAGGGAGCCTCCACCTGGCAGCCCTCGTGCTTCTGCCCCTGGCTGACGCAGCAGCTAAGGGCAGCCAGGGCCCAGCACGGTCCCCAGGTGTGCGTGGAGCTCTGTTCTAGAGTGGCGGGCTCCCTGTCAGCCCAGGAGTGATGGGGGCTGGGGCCAGTCCCAGCCACACCCCATTCCCCTGGGGAGGCTGGTTCTGCCGTTTCCAGAGGCGTGGGATCTTCACTGAGTGCTGCACGGTATCTTTGGTGGGGAGGGGTTTTCTGTGCCTTATTTCTGGGGCTAAGGACGGCTTCCCTCCCCGACCTCTGAGAGTGTTCCCCAGGGACGGCCCTCTCTCCCCAGGCTTCTCTGAAAGTCCTGCCTGGCCTGGGGTCCCTGCCTGGTCCCTTCCTTCTCGGGGGTCTGGGCTTATCCTTTCCGCTTTCAGCTTTGGGCCCAGGCTGGCGTGACAGGTCTCTTATTTCAGCCTCTGCCAGAGGAGCTGAGGTTCTGGGCAGGGGAGGGACCCTCACCCAGGGTCTGAAGCCAGGCATGTGAGGGGTTGTTCTCTCACTAACCGCTCTGACACGACACTTCCTGGGCTTCTATGGAGGCAAGCCACAGAGCCACTGCCGTGACGCCCACAGCCCCCAGGTCACCAGTCCCCTTGGGGGAGGCCTTTCCTGCCTGGGCAGGTGCCACGCCCTCCCTGCATCTCCATCTGAAGATGGAGGCTTCTCCTCTGACCCAGGATGGGGGAAGTTTCTGTGGCCTGCCACGCCTGCGTGCAGGTATCTGCCTGTGAGCTGTGGGGAGGGGCAGCCAGGGAGTCAGAGGAAGGGTGGGCAGAGGCAGAAGAACTGTTGGCCTAGGAGGGCACAGAAGGACCAGGTGAGCCCTGTGGGCCAACTGGGGTGAAAACCTCCCCGCCCAGGGAGGCTGCAGTGCGGCACCGGGCTCAGGCGGCGTCTGCCGGGGCCCACCTCCGTGACAGAGGCGGCGTCTGCGTGGGCCCACCTCCGTGACCAAGGCGGCATCTGCGTGGGCCCACCTCCCCGTGACCGTGGCGGCGTCTGCGTGGGCCCACCTCCCCGTGACCGTGGCGGCGTCTGCGTGGGCCCACCTCCGTGA